CTAATTAGCGTGAAGGTGTGATAGTGGCTAGTTGTGATTCTGGGCCAATCAATGCAGCTGTAAAGTGATAAGGCTTTTTTGTTTACTGTTATATACAATTCATAGGCTTATTTTGTAAAAATCTCATTTTAGTCACATAAGCTTAAAGCTAGCTTTTGTTCTCTGAAAAGTGAAGATATTTTAAAGGTAAACATATAGGCCTGTGTTGGGCCCTTGTGAATTCTATGAATGAGTTTTACTTTTTTGTTAATTTTATGGAGAAAGAAATAGCAATGAGACAGTTTGAAAACAGGTTAGTAGGACAGTTACAATAATTAATATATTGCATATTGTTGTCTCCATAGTGGTTATTCATAGTACAAGATGCTGACATGGTATCCTTTCCAAACGCTATTAGTACAAATTTTTCTTCTCATTAAATTCCAAGAAAGTAGCTGTTTATCTATCCTATTTTTATATACAGATACAAAAATGTCCCTCATTTATATCACCCTTTTGTTTGGATTTGTCAGACATGGGTATTCCATTGTCATCCAAATATTGTAGGTGCATGAATTCAGCAAAATATTCCAATATAGTCCAGTACTCCGCAATAGTAGTGGGTTATCTTCAGGACTGGCAATGTCCAAATCTGATGACTTGATACTTCCACAGCTCAGCATAGTAACATGCTTCACTTTTCATACCTCATTTCTACACTTTTCTAGGACTCTGTCCATTTTTTCTGTGTCTTCTATTCTATGAGAGTAGAGGTTCTCAAAGTAGCTATTGATAATCTTCTGAATTTCTACTGGGTCTGTAGTAGTTACACCCTTTTTATTCCTTATTGCTTTTATTTGAATTCTTCCTTTACTCTTTTTGATGAAGTTAGCCAGGGGCTTATCGATTTTATTTCATCTTTCAAAGGACCAATTTTTTGTTTCATTAATTCTTTGAATTGTTTTCTTCATCTCAATTGAATTAATTTCTGCTCTAATGTTTATGATTTTTTCCTGTTTATGGGCTCTGGATTTGGTTTGCTCTTCCTTTTCTAGATGCTGGAAGTGCAACATTAGGGTGTTTATTTGTTCCCATTCTGTTTTCCTAATCTGTGAGTTCACAGCTATAAATTTCCCCCTGAGGACTGCCTTCATCACATCCCATAAATTCTGATAAGTTGCGTTTGAATTTTCATTGAAATGTAGATATTGTTGAATTTCTTGTTTAATTTCATCTGTGACTGATTGGTTGCTGAGTAGGATGTTGTTTAATTTCCATGTATTTAGGGTTTTCTTTTTCTAGTTTCTTTTGTCATTTATTTCCAGTTTCATTGCACTGTGGTCAGATAA